TTGAAGTTCCCTCTTGTCCTCCCACCTCATCCTTCACTTCTCCGGCATCTTCTTGAGTTTCCAGGAGGTTTAGCTCCTCAATAGGAAACAGCATGGCCAAAATGTGAAGTTGGAGCCACCAGGCCAGGAACCTCCATGCTTGATTTGCAGTCAATATTCAAAAATCCCATTAAAAAGCAACAGTGCTCCAGATACTCAACATCAGCCTCAGCTGGGGAGGTCAATTTGGGGCACCCAGGCTTTTATCTGGAAAGCTCATGGCTGCCAGCAACATGCATTGGTGTGGGGATTGCACGTGGGGTGAGGGAAGTGCCCAGCACTCCCAGTTGGGCTGAATGGTGGGATCTGGTTTTTGAGTTGGGGGTGAACTGGTTATCACCCCTACAGGATATGACAAGGACATGGGACCATCCCTCTGTCTCACTCCCTCACTCCAGTTCATCCTCCAGCTGCTCAAAGCTTGTGGCTTTGGGCAACAGCTGAGCATCCCTTGGCCACCCAGCAGCAGGATGAGGCCACTTGGTGACACCACACATGAAGTCAAGGAGAATAATTTTGGCTCCCTATTTTCCTGCGGATGGGTATTCAGAGCTCTGGAACAGGCTGGCCAGAGAGGTTGTGGAGTCTCCTTCTCTGGAGATGTTCAAAACCTGCCTAGACGTTTTCCTGTGCAACCTGCTCTAGATGTACCTGCTTTGGTGGGGGGTTGGACTAGATGATCTCCACAGGTTCCTTCCAATCCCCACCATTCTGTGATTCTGTAGCTGTGGTTTGACTGGGGATGCTCTGCTGTCACCAAAAAGGTAACTCTGTAGTAAGGTGAGACCTAAAGTTGAGGGAGAAGGGGGACATGTCCTCTCTCAGTCACCCCCATGGCACCTCCAGCACATGCTGAGAACACCCCAGTCCTCCTCTCCTGCTTGTAGTGGGACACAGTCACCCCAGTTCACTGGGGAGTGAGAGCATCACCAGGTTCTCACCCCAAAACCACCTGATCCCAGGTCTGGTCCATCCATCCCTCCGTCCTCATTGCTCTCTACCACTAATGATGGCCTCTACTAAAAATCTTTGACAACCTGCCTCAGGAAAGAGAAAAGAGGGGAGAAAAGTACAAATCCTACTTTACATTTAAATCCTCATCAGGTACCAAGTGTCACATAGGTATTTAATACCCCCCACTACTGCCGCCGCCACCACCACCCATTTAAAATAGAAAGTGCTCTTAAAAATAGCCCTGAGTGAGCCACCGCTGATGTGACACTAATCCCTGTGTGCCGTGGTGGGGACTGGGATGAGGACGAGGAACGGGATGGGGATGTGCCTCCTCCTGGCACCCACTGAGCCCATTGCAGTGGGTCCTTTTAATGAGGATGAGGAGGAGCAAGGACCGTGGGTGACAAGGACCCAACTCAGTCCAGGGAGATGCTTGCCCTCAACCCAGAGCTGTAATCATGGAGCCTTTGTGAAAACAGAGGTGATCTCATTTTAGCTGAGGGTTTCAGCCAAATCATTGCTACCTTATTAAAAAAATAATAATAGCCGGGTGTTTCCCAGAGACAGCTCTTTTCCTGCCCTTTTTCCTCATTCTTTCTTGTCACGTCATCTTTTTATTTTCAGTTTTTCTTCAAGTTTCACCCTTTCTACCCCAGAGAAAAGAGGGAAAACGAGGGGGAAAAAAAATAAATCTGGTGGTGCATTGGGAACAGAAGCAATTGCCTTTTCTAATTTCAAGACATTCTTGCAGATGCTCCTAGCTCATCCTCAGTACCCTTCAAAACCAAAACTTGAAGGATGGATAGGTCCCTGCCCTCCTTGGAGGTCTTGCATAGGCAAGGAGACAGGAGATCATGGGTGAGAAGCTTAGGTAAAGTCCATTGCCTTCTGCTGCCTGGGATGAGAAACACTCAGCTCATTGTCCCCAGCACTACTCTGCTTTGGGGACCCAAATTCCCTCCACCTGACAGGGGCATGACATAGGTCCTAGGTCCATTCCCAAGGCAGGACCAGCGATGGGCTTCAATGGTCCTTCAAGAGGTCCATTCAGGAGAGAAACCACCCATGGGGCTGAGGACGGGTCCCCATGCAGCACAGTTCAGGAGGAGACTACCAGTCTTGGGCTGAGCTTGGCTCCTGGGCCATGGGCAGGGTGGGGTGGGGGTCCCAGGTGGGAATGATGGAGGCTGTTAGATGTATTAGTGCCCATCACCATGTGCTCAGGTCTCGCAGTGGGAGCATTCATCTCATTTCCAACCCAAACTTCATCCAGGCTCTGCTGCATCCTTTTTCTCCTGGAAAGATGGGGGTTTTGGCAGCTTTTATTGACAAAGTGTCCAATATGCTCCCAGGCAGCAATCCCCAGCTCTTCAACCTGTATTTTCCTGGTGACACCAGCTGGTCCCATCTCAGAACAGGTCTCCTCATTCCCGGGGGCTCCCCAATGGCTTTGCTCTATGTTTGTACCAGGCAGCAAACACACACACCCAGCCCCATCACCCTCACCCAAACCGTAGTGGAATCCTGTGCTCCCTGGGGTTGTGCCACCATGGAGGTCACACTATTTTGTCTTCCAGAGATGCTCAACCAGGTTGTTCCCAGATTGTCACATAGCGTTTAGTGGCCTGAGAAATGGTCTTTGCTGTAGCCAGAGCCTGGTGATATCCCATGGGGACCTGTGGCTGATTTAAAAGAGGGAGTGTTGTGTGCCTACAGCCGGACCCCCCAACAAGCAACTGGATCCCCCATCCTTGGTGCCATCTCCTCGGGAGCTTGGCAGAGCAGGAGAGCTGCATGGGCAGGGTTATCAAACAAGTGAAATTTCGAGCTCGAATATGAGAATTTTATTAAAATGAGGTCAGCAGAGTGTAACGGAGCCGCTTTGGCTGCTGGCAGCGTAATCATCCCCTCGGGCTCCTGGTTTCAGATACCCGGACATATTAAATTACCCTTAACTCTGCCCACGCGTCCTCATCCACCACAAGGGCTTTGCAAGGAGCCTGCCCTGCTGAGCTGTGGTTTATGGTGCATTTCTAGTGATTTATGGTGATGGTCCAATCTCCTGCATGTTGGCATCTAGATAAAAAATTCAGAGACCAAGGATAACCTGGTGTGGTGACAGCAGCTTTGGGGTGCCTAACCTTGGCCACCCAACACAAGGATGAGATGAGGTGTTTGAGCCCAAGGACTCCGTTTCCTGCAAGAAAATTGCTCAAAAAAAGTTGAGTTATGGGATAACAGCAGCATAAAAATGATGGAGGGGTGTGTCATGATTAATTAGTCTGAGTGGATGAGGAGGTCCAAGACCCACTGATGAACTGTGGCATTGCTGGAGGTATGGCAGGACTTTTTTGGTGGTATGAGAAGGAAACAAAAACATGTCTGGCAAGATAATGCCCCTTGATTTATCTTCCCTTCCTTATTTTAGTAAATTTGTGGCTGATTTGCACCAAGAAAGGACATGTGGAAGGGCAGGGGAAGGAAAAGGATGAGGAGAGAAAGGCAGTAATGAAAAATAACCAGAAAAAAACAAATTATGCAGGGAGAAAACACCTGTCTAAGCTTTTTAGAAAAGAAACCACCAGAAAAAGCTAAGCACAGGGGGTTTTTGATTCCCAAATGTTCTGTGTGTGGAATGGGGTGGCTGGGGAGCAGCAGGAGTGACACAGCCCCAGGGTACCGGGGGGGCACTGATGCCCACGGATGCCCACACTGGGGAGAGGGGGGAAGAACAAAATGCATCAATTGGGTGCACAAATGCGTACAGGGGGTGTCGAGGGGTTCTCTCCAGCACCCCCCAGTCTGCCGCTACCCACCTCCTCCTTGGCAGTGCCGGGACCAGTCAGGCCCTCTGCCAGCTCTCCCAGAGAGAGGTGGGGAGAGGCGAGCCAGCAACCCTGCCAAAAATATACACTTCAAACTGCTGCTGAATTGAATTTTCACCTCGTGCTCAGTCTCCCACACAAAATAAAGCCACACACACCCCCACAGACATATATACACCCAGGAACACCAGATGAGAAACACCACAATGCTCCTGGAGATGCAGTGATGGCTCCAGCTAGATGCCATGGCAGCGGGTGCTTGGGTGGGACTGGGGAGCCCCATGCAGGATGAGTTCTGTGCTGGGTGCTGGGCAGACCCTGAGCTGAATGGGGTTAAAGACTTGAAGGTGGGTGATGAACCTCTTGCATCTGGAACCTGGGCAAGGTCATTAGATGGAGACCATGGTCCATGGGAGCCATGGAAGGTGATCCTTCCAAGGACCTCCCAAGGAGGTCCTACCTCTCTTCCTTCCCCTTCCAGCCCTGCCCATGGTTTGAACCTCAGCTAGGACATTCCATCTATTATTTTTAATTATTTTAAGGCTTCTTTTATTCATGCCCCACGTAGGGTCTGTCTCCTGCAGTGTGGCGGGACCACAACCCTGTCCCCAAGCTATCAGAGGTCTTGATATACTCTGTACTTCACAAGTGATGGAGCACTGGGGTTGAGCCCATCAGCATCCCAGTCACGGTGGGAGGTGACAGTGCTGTCCCCACAGACCTTCTCGTGCTGCTCTGCATTTTGTCACAAAACCTTGGGACGTTTTCCACTCCCCTGCCTCATTTTCCCCACCCATGGAGCTGCCTTTTCCAGGGGAAAGAGGGGGCGGTCACTGGTGGCTTCCTCACAGATGGGTGCAAGGGACCAAGGGACATCATGTGTGCAGGGATTTGGGGGGATACTTAGGATCCCAGGGAACAAGGCAGACCTGTCACCTCCCTGGCCACCTTGGGAAGGGCCCATCCCACCACACCAAGCACCCATCCAAGGTTTTGCTGCCTGTTCAGGGTCCACAGGTGCTGTGCTGCCAGGTGGGTTTTAGTCTCTGCCAAGGGGCTCCTGGAGTGGCTGAGACCTTCCAACTCATCACACCGGTGGTACTGGGGGAGAGATTTAGGGATATGGTTGGGAGGGTCCCATCCAGCAGCTCCCTTCTACCCATCTCTCTGTCCTTTCCACAGGTGGTGAGCCAGATCGACCGACTGACGTCCGACTTTGAGTTTGAGCTGGAGCCAGACGACTGGACGACAGCGACAGCCAGCAGCACCTCCAGCAGCGAAAAGGGGGGAGGTACCTTCGAGCTGGGACCCCTCGATTTCACCACCTCCGACGCCAGCCACAGCTCCCATCATCTCGCCAGCCCGATTATCGGCTGATGAATGGTGGGATCCCCATCACCAATGGTCCCCGGGGTGGTGGAACCCCAGATTCATCCAGCGAGGAAACCTTTGGCACAACAATCAGCCAGAAGACCCCACATCACCGTCCAGCCGGCACGCGGGAACGGGTCCGATTCAGCCCAGCCACAGCTCCCATCATCTCGCCAGCCCGATTATCGGCTGATGAATGGTGGGATCCCCATCACCAATGGTCCCCGGGGTGGTGGAACCCCAGATTCATCCAGCGAGGAAACCTTTGGCACAACAATCAGCCAGAAGACCCCACATCACCGTCCAGCCGGCACGCGGGAACGGGTCCGATTCAGC